AAAACGCTAGATGCTTCCACAAAGCAAACATTTAACATGCGAGTAGCTATCATGTGGATAATGTTTACGACATGAAAAAACTGTTTAATTGGTTATCGACGTTTTCTTCCTCGGGATCATAGCTTTCGTCAAAACGTGGTACATTTCGACGGAAAAGTAGAAACAAGATCTCCGCCAGTAACATTGACAGGTTCTACTATTATTCATCAACTAGAACAAGTTAATGTTACTCTTGGTAAGAAAAATGGTTTAGTTGGAGTTGGGAAAAAAAAGAAAGCAACGTGATGCAGGAAGATGTGGTACTTATCAGTGGAAGAAAAAAAGTATTCTCTAAAGTTGTCTTTTTGAGTATTCTTTCGTGAGCTAGGTATACGTTCTGACTTGTGGCCTGATGATAATGAGAAATATCAAGCAACATATTTTTCTTTGAACAATCAAGCGAAAGACACTTTTTTAAGTGTCTTCCAGAATGTAAAACTCCGGATGATTATGCTTCTAATTTATCAAGTTGTGTTGATGTCAATGGTCGAAAGCTATCATGCTTAAAAAGCCACGATTTTCATGTAATAATGAGAAATCTATTTTCACTTGCGATTTGAAATCTGTTACCAACAAACATGACATCAACAATTGTTGAGATAGATAAATTACAATACATTATTTTAGTAACTTTATGTCGTATGGAGGTTTTTTTCCTCAATCATTTTTCACGGTGATGGTGCATTTAGTAGTACATCTCACCGAAGAGGCAAAATACGGTGGACCGTTCCATTTTGTTGGTTGTATCCGACCGAGAGGTGAGGTTTTCCCATTTTATGTTTATATATATATATATACGAAACTGAAACTTACTAGATTCAATTATATACACATGATGTTAGGACACTTCAAATGATATGTTCGAAATTGCGCTAAGCCTGAAGGTTCTATATGTGAGCAATATTTAGCTGATGAGTGTGTAACATTTTGCTCAATGTATCTCGATGATATAGAGACACGATTTACTCGGATTGGCCGGGTTGATGATCGACCTCTAGCTGAGACTAGCATAAACCCAAATTCAGAACTTTTACTTTTATTTCCAAACCTTGGAATAGTTGTTGGAGCGGGTAAAGTTTATACTCTTAATCATGTAGAGCGGCAACAAGCACATCGACATGTATTGGTCAACTGCCAACTACTAGATCACCTACGGGAGTAAGTTCTCTTATTCAAGAACAACTAATTTTATTTATGTTTTATTGAAATTCACTAATGTAGACGTTATGGTTATTGTATGTTTAGGAAATATAAAACCGAGTTGTTGAATAAACAATCTCATCAAAGCAGGAGGAATCGTGTTATCGATATTGACAGAGAAATGCATCTTAGTTTTGCAAAATGAATCAAGTAGAAAGTAAAGACAAAATGAGTTAGATGAGCTAACTGATGATATGATGCTTAGCTCTGGGTCCATCTGAAAATGTTTTAAAGTATACAGCTTATGATGTCAATGTTTTCAAATTCCGGACAACAAAAAGAGAATCAAACCTGAAAACACAAAATAGTGGTGTTTTTGTGGCTACTGAGACTACGAGCTATGCTAGTTCTCGTGATCCTAACCCAAGAAAGGGAACTGTAGCTTACTATCGGAATCTGATCAAAGTTATAGAGTTAAACTACCATGAAGTTTTCAAAGTTGTAATATTCAAGTGTAAGTGGGCGGGCACTCTTACAGTAAAAGGATATAAAATAGATGCATATTGTAACACCCTATCCCGCTATTAAAATATAAACAAAATAGGAGCATCACGATAGACGCCCGCAGTCGGCCAACCCAGGTTTTCGACACAAATTCGTTTGCCCGAGTCGTCAAACCGTAAGTGTCCAGCCTCTCGAACATGGCCTAAGGCTTTTCAACCCGTATTGCACACGAGTGTTGTGTAAGTCAGAAAAGACTAATATCAGTCGGTCTACCATATAAATTTTAGAAATTTGAGTCTTTATACATATATACCAAATCGCATATAGTTTTCGCATCCTCTTTGAAAACCATACATCATATGCTTAGTAAGAATTTTACAAAAAGCTGTAAAACCTACATCGGTTCGTCCTAAGTCTCTTGCGCCCTCTACAAGGCTGGTCAACTAAGGTTTCCTGCAAAATAAGTAGCGTCATAAGTAATCTAGCATTACTTAGTGAACCCCGAATCTAGATAGAGTTAACCTAATACCCTTACCCCTAAGCAGAAATCAACACACAATAATACTACGAGCTAACAAAAATAAGTACGAGTTATACAAGCAACGCACAATCAAAGATGACACCCAACACACAATGCAAGCAAAATGTAATGCACAATGTATAATGCATGCAGACTCAAATTCCTAATATGCAGCGGACAATTAATGCAAGCATGCTTCCGATAACCTAGGTAAGGCCTTCTACGAATACATGCTATCCCGAGGCAATGGCCTACACACTCATAGACACAGAGTCTAAAGAAGATCGTCATTCCTTATACTACATCGTCATTTAGCGCCTGGTCTGTAGCGAACCAGCCCCGAGCATTCGTATGTCATAACGGAACGAAGTTACACGCGACGCACAGCCTATGGGTGGAATAACAAGATCCGGCTAATGCTAGTTGACTAACTAACATGACAACAGACTCACATGCTATCATGCATTCCATCCTATATGAAAAACTTTACTAATCAAACAACTAATCGTACTTAATTACTACTAATCCTTGTTTAGCTCACCCTAATCATGCTTAGGAAATACTAATCCTAATTAGCCATTACTAATCATAATTAACAATTAATAAACCTAATTAACTATCTTAATCAAGGATTAAGCAAATAATTAAGATAAGTAATTAAAATTAACCTCCTAAGCTGAATTAAGGAAATAAGTGAATTAAATATCCTATTCACGTGCTACTTATCGTGACTTGAGACTCACTTGGATTTTCCGAGCGGTTTAGGCTTCCGAAGGTTTCTCAGCGAACTGGGATTTTCTAACGATTTTAGATCTAGGAACAAATGGGCGGAGGAGGGAGTATTTATAAGGTCCTAAAGTCGGCTATTATGTCGGCCATGGAAGCACGAGGTGACCTTGGACGAATCAAATTGCGGCAGATGTTGTCCCACAGGCGCTTCAGGACACTAATCGGCCTCTGATTGGTTCTTTCGAGTTTTTCGGATAATCATCATTCAAAAGTGGATAAGCTCGACCCTAAATGGATAAGGATTATCGGAATGTAGATAAGCATCGGACCTAACGGATAAGCTTGAGCCACTATTCAATCATGGCCGTCCATTCTCTCATTTCGGCGAAACCTACTATTTATCACCAATATCTCAAGAGGGTCCGTGAAACAATTCAAGGCTTGCTTAGGACTATAATACGTTCCATGCCAGAATTGACCGAGCATGCCAGCTATCGTCACTCATCCGCATTGTCCAATCAATCATTTTGACCATACACGACCCACTCTCATATTGGACTACCCGAGATCGATTTCCCTCGACCCTCTAAGTTTTTCCCGACCCTTTAAGGTTTCCTAAACCAAAACAAAGGTTCCTTAAGCTACACTAGTTCTTGGGGTTTAGCGATAGTCGCATCGTAGCTAAGCTTGGCCCGTCAGATGGAGATTCATTCTTTTACCCATGTACTTGATCCTATTCAATGCTCCTTACCCATGACTTACCACACTAATTGGCCCGACTGATCTTGCCTTCCCTTGGCTTGATCTCGCATTTTACTCGACAGAATGCACGTTCGACCGTCCGGGTCATAGTCAAGGTCCGAGGCATTATACATATGGTCATCATATGGTTAATTTTTACACACTGGAGATAACAAAGAGGATGAACCATATATATTGGAGTCTCAAGCAAGAATGGTATATTATGTATAAGATCCTTCTTAGAGTGATTGGAAGATTGCAGTTCATATATATTCCGCATAGAGACATGTATGACATGGGAGATATAGAACAACCGAATGATGAATTTGGCCCTCACAACTCCACTAATGCTTCCTAAGAAAATATTTATAATGTCGGCATATGTGGCTGCTAGTAATTGTTTCTCCATAATCATAATATTTGTGGGATCTTTAATCAAATGTCATACAAATTAGGTGTATTTACCGGAATCTTGTAGAACATTTTTTTATTACTATCATATTTCGGACCTATTTGGTATACCCATCGTGAACCTACTAAACGTTACAGAAAAAATATAATTACAAGGAATGCCATTGTCACGTCAGCAAACCCGCGTCGCCACGTCAGAAATAATTGACGTGTATTAATGAACTCGACTGTTAGGAGATACAGCGACAGTTACAGCTGAGTTTAGGGTATGTTGCGTTTGACTAAAGACAAAATGGCTGAGTTATGACAAAACGACGGAATTATGAGTATAATTTAGCCATAGTTATGGCTGATTTATAAAATATGTCTAAGTTATGAGATAATCCAGCCTACGTTACGGCTGAGTTAATGAAATTTGTCTGAGTTATGAGAATTTCAAGCATAACCCACACAACGTTATGGCTGAGTTATGAGAAAACGGCTAAGTTATTTCCTCGACACGGCTAATTTATCATTTTCCGGCTGGCTGAGTTATCAAAGATGCCTTAGTTATGGGATGTCGTTACGGCTGAGTTATTTTCGAGTGTCATAAATCAGCCGTAGAGAGCTGGATTAGCGGATAACTTGGCCTTGTTAAGCCTGACTTATTAGCAAAAGATTAATTACTATAATATCATGCAATTACAACCGAATTATTAAACGATACGGCTGAGTTAAAGATTTTCGGTTGAGTTACGACATTAGAAGGCTGAATTAACTTGGCGTTTTTTTGTTTTTAATTACTGTAATAGTATTCATCTTGCGACTGACTTATAGCTTTGCTTGATAGCTGATTGATTTAGGCAAATTTACATGTTCGTTTGGTGGCTTACTTGCCACTTCATCAATTAAAAAATGACGTCTGATGCAACATTCCATGTCATCATCATCAACGGAAATACAAAACATCCCTAGTTTTTTCAACTTCTCTCTTCTTCTTTGTGTTGTTCTTCACCCGAGTTGTCTTTAACCTGTGTCTTTCACATCACCAGAACTTTTAATTCGTCATCGTCTTCCTCATTTTTCTTCATTTTCTTTAATCCTTCTCTCGATATGCTTGCCTCCGATTGTTGTAAACCAGCAAGAAAGGCCCAAGAAAATTAGGATTACATTATCTTTGGAAGTCGGCATTGGAAATAAACGCCTTAGAAAGCAACATGCATGTTCTCTATCTAAACAAGTTGGGTATAATGCTAAAACTTGTCGGACATAGTATTGTTTGCAAGAATTTTCTTTCTCTTCTTTATTTATTAGCAGTAATATGTAGTTCGTGACAAATCACCTATCATTATAGACTCTAAGAACCATAACACATTATAACTCATTGAGTTTTAACCTTTCGTGACAAATCAGCCATACGCATTATAACTCAACTGTAACATGTAAGGTTCGGTAAATTTACATGTCACGGCTGAGTTATATGTTTCAGTAAAGATGAAAGGTTGTGTAAATTATATGTTACAGCTGATTTATAATGCTTCAGAGAAGACGAAAGGTTCGGTAAATTTACATGTCACAGTTGAGTTATATGTTTCAGGAAAGATGAAAGGTTGTGTAAATTATATGCTACAGCTGAGTTATAATGCTTCAGGGAAGACGAAAGGTTTGGTAAATTAACATGTTACGATTGAGTTATATGCTTCATGAAAGAAGAAGGGTTTGTAAATTATATGTTACGACTTAGTTTTAATGCTTTGGAGAAGACGAAAGGTTCGGTAAATTTACATGTCACAGCTGAGTTATATGCTTCAGGAAAGACGAAAGGTTTGGTAAATTTACATGTCACGGTTGAGTTATATGCTTCAAAGAAGACAAAAGGTTTGGTAATTACATGTCACGGCTGAGTTATATGCTTTAGAGAAGACGAAATGTTTTGTAAATTATATGTTACGACTGATTTGTCACGATTTACATATTACGACTGAGTTACATCACATTACAGCTGAGTTATAATACATATCGGAAAACAATATTTTTGGGAAGAAAATATAAAATTTATTGGTCAAATAACAACAATCAAATTAAAAACTTAAGAATATATTTAAGGGAGACATAGGAGGAAGACTAAACTGTATGAATTAAAACATAGATAGAAGTAGAAGAGTCACTAGTCAACAAAACTGTATGAATCAAAACATCGATAGATGTAGAAATGTCTCCAAATAGATCGATTGAGAGGAAGACTAAAAGAGAATCATGTAAAACCAAAGTAAAAGAGTAGCTATTACTGCTTTCAACTCAAACCTGTAACGAATCATGTAGAATTCCATAGACCTCTTTGATTTGGATTTTTATTTTTGATGTTTTTCGTGAACGAGGTTGTGTGTAGATCTGACGAAGCTTTTGATTTGGGACCCTATAGCAAGCGTTGTGGCTCTGAGGTCTAGGAAGATCCAGCCCAATCATATAATTTGAAGACCTATGTCCATGTTGTACCCAAGTTGCAATTATTAGATCTAAAAGCTTTTCTTGGATTTTGAGACAAAAAAAAAGAGGAGGGAAATAAAATGATTTTGAGGAGTGTGAGATTGGTGACGTGAGTTAATGACATGGACAGTCAAATTTTTATTTATTATTTTTTATTAAAAATAAAATAATCAAGAGTGTTAATTGTAATTACACAAATACTCAAAATATATGAGTAATTTTTAAAACATGTATAATATCACTACAAGAAAACAGACAAACAACGACTACAGAAAGCAACAACAGATGTAGTCGTCGTTTTTGGCGACTACGTCACGACAGTTTTACGACACATATACGACAACCTGAACATTAGTACGACACATATACGACAACCTGAACATTAGTAGTCAAATAGTCGTTATTTTACGACTAAATATGTTAGTCGGCAAATACTCGTATAGTAACGACTATTTAACGATTATATTATTGAACGGAGACGTTTATCGTTACATAGTCGCAAATGGACGACTACAATTTCCGACTGCGACAGTTAGTCGCCAAATCGGCGACTAAAATACGACACATTTCTGTAATCGTAAAATAGTCGCAACTGAGTCGCAGAGTAGTCGCATTAAGTTGTTGGAAAACGTTTTCCGCATTGCCAAGTAGGTACACCTAATTTGTTTGTTGTAGTCGTAAATTAGTCATAAAAATTCGTCTATATAATCAAAATTCACGACAATCTTCTTTCACCAACAAATCAAAACAACAATCAAAAGGAAAAAAAAACGGAAAAAATAGAAATTTAGTTTATTCTATAATGGCGGGAAACTACAATTATTGCGGTAGTGGCGGTTTCTATCGAGATTGGATGTACAAGAGATTCGATGAAGTGACGGGGAATTTGTCAGCCGAATACGTCGCAGGAGTTGAGGAATTCATGACATTCGCTAATAGTCAGCCTATAGTACAGAGTTGTCGAGGTAAATTTCATTGTCCTTGTAGTGTATGCAAGAATGAAAAACACATCATCTCGGGTAGAAGAGTTAGTAGTCATTTGTTTAGTCAAGGATTTATGCCTGATTATTATGTTTGGTATAAGCATGGAGAAGAATTGAATATGGATATCGGAACTAGTTACACGGATAGGACGTATTTTAGTGAGAATCATGAAGAAGTGGGTAATGTTGTAGAAGATCCATATGTGGATATGGTGAACGATGCATTTAATTTTAACGTGGGGTATGATGATAACGTGGGTCATGATGATAACTATCATCATGATGGTAGTTATCAGAATGTGCAAGAGCCGGTCCGTAACCATTCAAATAAGTTCTACGACTTGTTAGAAGGTGCAAATAATCCATTGTACAATGGTTGTCGTGAAGGGCAGTCGCAGTTATCATTAGCATCTCGACTCATGCACAACAAAGCGGAGTATAATATGAGTGAAAAGTTGGTGGACTCCGTTTGCGAAATGTTTACAGATTTTTTACCAGAAGAAAACCAGGCTACCACTTCACATTACCAGACCGAGAAGTTGATGCGCAATTTAGGACTTCCATATCATACGATTGATGTTTGCAAAAACAATTGTATGTTATTTTGGAAAGAAGACGAAAAAGAAGATCAATGTCGATTTTGTGGCGCACAAAGATGGAAGCCTAAGGACGACCGTCGAAGAACCAAAGTACCATATAGTCGTATGTGGTATCTACCTATTGCAGATCGGTTGAAGAGAATGTATCAGAGCCATAAGACAGTTGCGGCTATGCGATGGCATGCTGAGCACCAATCAAAGGAGGGAGAAATGAATCATCCTTCAGATGCGGCAGAGTGGAGATATTTCCAAGAGTTACATCCCCGGTTTGCTGAAGAACCCCGTAACGTTTATCTCGGGTTGTGTACTGATGGGTTCAATGCATTTGGCATGTCTTGTAATCATTCGTTGTGGCCTGTGATCCTAACTCCATATAATTTACCCCCTGGTATGTGCATGAATACAGAGTACTTATTTCTTACCATTCTGAATTCTGGACCAAATCATCCTCGAGCTAGTCTTGATGTCTTCCTCCAACCTCTTATTGAGGAGCTAAAAGAGTTGTGGTGTACTGGAGTCGATGCGTACGATGTTTCATTGAGTCAAAATTTTAATCTAAAAGCAGTACCACTCTGGACGATTAGCGACTTTCCGGCGTATAGCATGTTATCAGGATGGACTACTCATGGTAAATTGTCTTGTCCAGTTTGCATGGAAAGTACAAAGTCTTTTTATCTACCCAATGGACGGAAGACATGTTGGTTTGATTATCACCGTAGATTTCTTCCTCATGGTCATCCATCTCGTAGGAACAAAAAAGACTTTCTCAAAGGAAGAGACGCTTCTAGCGAGTATCCACCCGAATCTTTGACAGGGGAGCAAGTTTATTACGAGTGGTTGGCTAGTGTAAATTCACCCAAAAGGAAGGATGTTGGTGGGAACGGTCATGAAAAGAAGATGCGAGGCTATGGGAAGGAACATAATTGGCACAAAGAAAGCATATTGTGGGAGTTGTCTTACTGGAAGGACCTCAATCTTCGACATAATATTGATGTTATGCATACAGAGAAGAATTTTCTTGACAACATCATGAACACTCTCTTGGGTGTTAAGGGTAAATCAAAAGACAATATCATGTCAAGATTGGATATTGAGAAATATTGTTCTCGGTCAGGCTTACATATTGATAGTACGGGTAAAGCTCCTTTTCCAGCGTATACATTGACAGAAGAAGCCAAACAGAGTCTATTTCAATGTGTGAAACATGATGTTAGATTTCCTGATGGTTATTCTTCAGATTTGGCTAGTTGTGTAGATTTGGAGAATGGTAAGTTTTCAGGCATGAAGAGTCATGATTGTCATGTTTTTATGGAGCGACTACTTCCATTTATCTTTGCCGAACTTCTTGACCGGAATGTCCACCTTGCATTATCAGGTACAATACTAACTATTTTTTAAGCAGAAATTTTTTTATCTAATTATTTAACTTGCACATATATTTTAGGAATTAGAGCATTTTTCCGCGACCTATGTTCGAGAACTTTACAGACAAGTCGCATTCAAATTCTCAAACAGAACATAGTTTTAATCATCTGTAACTTGGAAAAGATCTTTCCACCATCATTTTTTGATGTTATGGAACATTTACCTATCCATCTCCCATACGAAGCTGAATTGGGTGGCCCTGTCCAATATAGGTGGATGTATCCATTTGAGAGGTTTTTCAAAAAGTTGAAAGGAAAAGCAAAGAACAAAAGATATGCTGCAGGCTCAATTGTTGAGTCATATATCAATGACGAGATTGCTTATTTTTCAGAGCACTACTTTGTCGATCATATACAAACAAAATCAAGGTAAATACCTTTATTTATTTAACAATTTGCTATACTATTTCGATCTTAATTCAATTATATGTGGCAGGTTAACAAGATTCGATGAAGGTGAAGTTCATGTATATCATGTCCCTGGAGTACCTAACATATTTATGCAGGTCGGCCGTCCAAGTGGTGCTGCATGTAGAACAGCTTTCAGAGAAAGATTACCAAAATGCACATGCATATGTTTTAAGAAAT